ACATCTTTATAAGAACTGAAAAAAAAAAGGATATAATGAGGGGCTGGAGCCTCAGGTAGTGAAGGTATCGTACATATCATCTGGTTGTTCAGAGACCAGGCGTTGATTAACCCAGCATGCCTTTAAGCTTAATATAAAGCACGATTTCTATGAAATGTAACTCTGGGCCTGCTGTATGTTGAGACGGTGCATTAGGATGGCCTTTGCAGGCACCTCGCATAGTGTCAACATGGTAATGAGAAAAAATGGGTTTTCATTGAGATTTTGCCATCAACTAGCTATTTTACCCTGCCATTGGTTTTCTTCCTCTTCAAGCCTTGGTTATTAAGAACCTTGAGAATAGGTGTGGGAGGGAGAAAAGCTTGTGAGCAGCAGTTTACAGCAAGAGGTTATCTGGGATTTGGTTAAGGAAGGTAGAGAAATCCCTTGATGAGAGTGGCATGTTTCTAAAAATGGCAACATGTGGCTGTGAGCAGACTACAGAGAACCAAAAAAAAAGCCAGTAGAGTGATGTTCATGTTTCACTTGTGAAGAAGAAACATCGTAGATGGTGATTAGAAAAGATAGGCAACGAGGAGTATTAGGTGGAAATAATAAATATAACTATAATAAGGCCGGGCGCGGTGGCTCATGCCTGTAATCCTAGCACTCTGGGAGGCCGAGGCCGGCGGATTGCTCAAGGTCAGGAGTTCAAAACCAGCCTTAGCGAGACCCCGTCTCTACCATAAAAATAGAAAGAAATGAATTGGCCAACTAATATATAAAAAAAAAAGAGAGAGACTGGGCAGTGGAGCAGAGCCTCCGAGGCCGAGAGCCGACCCAACGATCTGAACTCTCAGGTCGGTGTCCTAACCTCCCACCCTCCTCCCACCGGCCTGTCTGCTCGTGGAGCGGGCTGCTTCTCGGCCTAGTGGGGATCCTGGGACGGCGGACGGGAACGCATGGAGACCCCTCACCATGCTATTAAAAAAAAATATGTCACCATCTGTCCTAGCCTTGATTCCCTGATGGAAGTGAGTGCCTATGACTGCAAGCTAAGCCAGCGGTGGGCGCCATGCCCCTTGTTTGTTTTCAAAACAGCCGTTACTCCAGCTACAGCCTACTCCCTAAAGGACGACCTAATTAATTTTGGCTCTAGTGCTTATGGCTAACATAGTGAGATTTGGCTCACACAGTGAACGGATCATAGACAGGACCTCCAAGAAGTGGCTCTTTCTTAAAAACGGGTTTTAGCGGTTCCTTATCAGGAGAGATGTGTGATAGGTGTACAATTGCTTTGACCCTTGGGTTTAAACCTTTCCAGAAAAAGCTTTCCTCCTCAGAGGGCGTCTTTGGCCCCTTTCTAATATTATAGAGGTTGGCCAGATAGCAGGCTCTGGTGTTTCCCCTGTTACCCAATGTCCAGTTTTTTTAGATTTCTCTCAGCTTTTCAGGTGGGGAATGAGATTGGAATATAGTGAGTACTCAATAATAAACAGCTGGTGTTCAACTGAGGACCTATTGCTTTTTTTTAAATTATTATTGTTTGTTACAACCCTAGGACAGCTGGAAGGGCCATAGATAAGCTCTGGAGTTGCTAATCCAAACTGCTTAAATCTGGGGCCTAAAGAGAGTTCCCTGGTTTTAGAGCTGCTCTGTTCTTGGTAGGATTTGTAATTCAGAAGTGTGGAAGTAACAGATCTAGGGATGTTTCACACCTGGAGTGTGTCCTTCGTTCTGGGGGCTGGATTTGGAACAGCTTGAATGATGAACAGCATCTACTACCTTTTGTTACAGTCTTCTTGCTTCCTTGGAAGAAAGACCCAGAGTGTCACAACTATTATAACAAATATGGTGGTAATTGCTACCTCTTACTTTCTTGCCTCTATGACAAGCCAGAAACATACTTTGGGAGAAGAAGTGTGTCATCTTTTAAATATGCTAATATGGTTGCTTGCCAATAAACCCATAGCACAGGCTCATTTCTTTTTCTTTCTTTCTCTCTCATTTTTTTTTTTTTTAAGAGATGGGTCCCAGTGTGTTGCCCTCCTGGGCTCGAAAACAAGTCCTGAGTAGCTGAGACTACAGGCTCATTTCTGATGTTAGAATTTCCTATTTCCTGTGCCAAGTACTTACATACTTTACCTTTACCCTTATAGTACCCCACTTTACAGATATATAATAGTTAGCTAGAATGTTCTGAGACCCCTTTCCTTGGGGTCTGGGTAATGAGGAATCACACTTTTTTTTTTTTTGAGACAGAGTCTCACTTTGTTGCCCAGGCTAGAGTGAGTACCATGGTGTCAGCCTAGCTCACAGCAACCTCGAACTCCTGGGCTCAAGCAGTCCTGCTGCCTCAGCCTCCCGAGTAGCTGGGACTACAGGCATGCGCCACCATGCCCGGCTAATTTTTTCTATATATATTAGTTGGCCAATTAATTTCTATTTATAGTAGAGACGGGGTCTCGCTCTTACTTAGGCTGGTTTCGAACTCCTAACCTCGAGCAATCCGCCCGCCTCAGCCTCCCAGAGTGCTAGGAAGGAATCACACTTAATATGTAGCAGGAAAGATTTCTGGCATGGCTTTTGTAAAACGTTAGATAAATTACCAAAAGAGGTTAAGAAATCTTTCTTGAGCAATAAAAGCAGACATTTTTGTGAAAGTCTGACTGCCAAGCCTCAGGAGACTCTAATTTACAGGAGGTGGAGCAGTTCTGTGGCATCCCTGAATCAGTCTTAGAGACATGACCATAATGAACCTGAGATTACCTTCTGGAGCATAGAACACTTTAAAGGTTCATTCTTGCTCCAACTAGGAAAATACTAATATTTGGTGGGAGGAGGATGTCTTGGCTTAGGGATTCCTTTATAGTTTGAATTCCTTCCCTCCAAATGGATTACATTTTCCCAAGGAACTTGACCTGCCTCTCTAGCAATCCTCCAAATTTCTGAATTCTGCTTCAGCCTAGAATGGCTAATTATTGGACTAATTAGTTCATTCTTGGACTAATGCTGTAACTTTAAGAGTGATGGGGGGCTATAGTCTCAACTACTTGGGAGGCTGAGGCAGGAGGGTTGCTGAACCTAGGAGTTTGAATCCAGCCTGGGCAACATAGACCCCATCTCTTAAAAA